CTGTCTTCATGTATATGGAATAATAGAATGTCTGCTCTTTCGTGTTAGGCTTTTTTTTTTTTTTTTTTTTAGAGGGAGTCTCACTCTGTCTCCCAGGCTGTAGTGCAGTGGTGCGATCTCTGCTCACTGCAACCTTCACCTCCCAGGTTCAAGCAATTCTCCCACCTCAGCCTCCCAAGTACCTGGGACTACAGGCGTACACTACTACACCCAGCTAATTGTTGTATTATTAGTAGATAATACATGTTGGCCAGACTGGTCCCAAACTCCTGGCCATCATGTTGGCCAGACTGGTCCCAAACTCCTAACGTCGTGATCCACCTGTCTGGGCCTCCCAAAGTACTTTCACTCAACTTAATGCTTTTTAGATCCATCTGTATTGTGTGCATTAGTAGTTCAGATAAACCTTGTCACAATATCTTTTAATTTTTTATGTCAGTATGTCTAATCACCAAAGACCGTGATGATGAGGCATTTAAGTTTGCACACTTAAACGTACCACCATTTAAGACATTGCAAAATAGGCCAGGCACGGTGGATCACCTGAGGTCAGGAGTTCAGCACCAGCCTGGCCAACATTGTGAAACCCCATCTCTACTAAAAATACAAAAAATTAGCTGGACGTGGTGGCAGGCGCCTGTAATCCCAGCTACTTGGGAGGCTGAGGCAGGAGAATCACTTGAACTCGGGAGGTGGAGGTTGTAGTGAGCCGAGATTGCGCCATTGCACTCTGGCCTGGGCAACAAGAGTGAAACTCCATCTCAAAAAAAAAAGACAAATTGCAAAATAGATTCTTGTTGTAATGTACATCTTGTAGCAAGCAGTGTTTTCTCTAATTTTCCTGCCTATTATTTCATCAGAACACACACAAAATATAGGTAGACTAACAATAGTTTATACTTAATTTATCTGGCTTAAGGCAGGGCATATTATAAAGGAAATGAAACTAGAAGAGGAAAAGGAGATTATATAATGCTGTATTTTGTTTCTAGGTAATAGGACAATGAGGACAATGGGGAGCAACGGGGAGGGGAGGAGTGGGGACATTCATCTGCCACATGATCACTCCCCACCGTTTTAAATTGGAAAGTTGTTACCTCTGAGTAGAAACAATATGATAGATAACTTCTTATAAAAGATTTTTGCAAATACTTTTTTTTTTTTAAGACAGGGTCTCACCATGTCACCCAGGCTGGAGTGTGTGGTGCCATCACAGCTCACTGCAGCCTCGACCTCCTGGACTCAAGCCATCCCCCCACACTTGAACCCCCACCCAACAGTAGCTGGGACTACAGGCATGCACCACCATGCTCGGCTAATTTTTGTATTTTTTGTAGAGACAAGGTCTTGCTATGTTGCCCAGGCTGGTCTCGAACTCCTAGGCTCAAATGGTCCTCCCACCTCAGCCTCCCAAAGTGTCGAGATTACAGGTGTGAGCTACCACACCCAGCCACAAATACTTTCTTTATGCTGAATTTAAATGACGAAATAGCCTTGACTCGGAGAATAGAAAGTAAATGTAATTGCTCATTTCAAATAAGCTTTAGGCATCCTCTCTGCATCTTACAGTTGTAGTTTGAGAAATTGTTTGGTGTGGGAAAGTATTGATAAAGGTTGAAAATACAGCGGTATTTAAGATTTTTCTCCCTTATTTTTGTAGAGAAATTCTCTAGAGTCCTGGTGGAGCAGCAGCAGGACCGAGCCCGGAGAGAGCAAGAAAGGATTCGTCTGTTTTCTGCTGATCCCTTTGACCTTGAAGCTCAGGCAAAGATAGAAGAAGATATCAGGTAATGAATGACCTGTTCATCTAAAGAACAAGACTCAGAGACTCCAGATTTCCCAAACTGCAGGGTATCTAACATTAGTTGGGCATCTGCTTGGAGGCAGCTTCTCTGTTTTGCAGTTGAGATAGTAACCTCAGTCTTTTAGTTTAGTCTCTCCTCTTTCATTTTCTACGCATTTCGATTCGACATGACAAAGATATAGGTACTGAGTTTAATGACTTTCTGTTCTAAAATTTTAAGGAAGACTCCCTGACTAGCAGACAGAGCATCATAACACAGTTCTAGATAAATGACCCCCAGACTGAGCAGAAACCACCCTCTGGTGAGACCGCAAGGCTGGTTGCATATTACATGGGCTGATTTGACCCTCTTTCTTTAGACATATTGTGTAAGTCCTGACTAAATCCAGGTCTTAAACATGATTGGATTAGAGAGGGCTCTGAGCTGATGGAACATTGGTAGTCCTAAGTCTGTTTTCCTGCTGCATTTCTTGTACTGGCCTCAGTGGATAAACTGAATATTGGACATGTTTCCAGCCCTCAGTTTCTGTAATGCAGTGGTTCTCACCTGGGGCTATAGTAAAATCATATGAGAAGCTTTTAAAAATGCAGATGCTTGGGCTCTTCTCCCAAATCTGATGAATCAGAATTGTTGGGCATGGAGCTCAGGCAAGGACAGTGATGCCGTTCCGGCCTCAGTCACACTGATAGTCACAAGCAAGATTCTGTTCAGTCATTCTCTGAAAAAAAGGACAGCTGCTTTTCCCGCCTCAAGTCAGTTTTTGTTTGCTAATTGTGAAAAAGTATAACTAAGAAGAGGATAACAGCAATGATACTTACACTTAGACTACTTAGCCTTTTAGGGACTGTGTCGTCATTTCGGTTACTTAAATGAAGCCTGACTTGGTCATTGTATTACACTATCAACTTAGAAATCAAATCATGCTTTTTTAAACTTCTCATTCTTTTTATCTTTTTTTTTTTTTTTTTTTTTTTTTTTTGAGACAAGGTCTCACTCTGTCACCCAGGCTGGAGTACATTGGCACAATAACTAGCTTATTGCAGCCTGGACCTCCCCCAGACTGAGGTGTTCCTCTTACCTTAGCCTCCCAAATAGCTGGGAATACAGGCATCCGCCACCATGCCCAGCTAATTTTTTCATTTTTTGAAGAGACAGGATTTCACCATCTTGCCCAGGCTGGTCTTGAACTCCTGAGCTCACGCAATCCACGCGCCTCAGCCTCCCAAAGTGCTGGGATTATAGACATGAGCCACAGCACTTAGCCCTTCCTTCTTCTTCTTTTTCATTTTTCTTTTCTTTTCTTTTTTTTTTTTTTTTGAGGCAAGGTTTTGCCATGTTGGCCAGGCTAGTCTCAAACTCCTGACCTCAATTGATCTCCCACCTCAGCCTCTCAGAGTGCTGGGATTACAAGTGTGAGCACCATGCCTTGCCTCATACTCTTCTTACTACATTTGAAATCAGAAATATAGGCTAGTCATGGTGGCTCATGCCTATAATCCCAACACTTTGCTCGAAGCGAGGAGTTTGAGACCAGCCTGGGCAGCAAAGTGAGACTCTGTCTTTACAAAAAATAAAATAAATTAGCCAGGTGTGGTGGCATGCACCTTCTGTCCTAGCTACTCAGGAGGCTAAGGCAGGAAGATGCCTCAAGCCCAGGAGTTGGCGGCTGCAGTAAGCTATGATTGCATTCCAACCTGGGCAAGAGAGTGAGACCCCCGTCTTAGGGGAAAAAAAAAAGAAATATAATTGTACACTAGAATTAATTGACAGCCTTAAGTCATTACGAAACTTCGTCTCAAAAAAATAAATAAGAGAAATGAAATAGATAGTGTCCATATGGCTCATGTTTCTTTCTAGGGCTTGAGTGAAGGAAATGGGGTAACACATCTGTTCTCTTCCCCACCCCCTGCTCAAGATGGAGTCTTGTTCTGTCGCCCAGGCCTGAGTGCAGTGGCACAATTTCAGCTCATTGCAACCTCCTTCTCCCAGGTTCAAGCGATACTCCTGCCTCAGCCTTCTGAGTAGGTGGGATTACAGGCATGCACCACCACGCCAGGCTATTTTGGTATTTTTAGTAAAGACGGGGTTTCACCATCATGGCCAGGCTGGTCTCGAACTCCTGACCTCAGGTGATTCGCCCTCCTCATCCTGCCAATGTGCTGGGATTACAGGTGTGAGCCATTGCACCTGACCACATTTACTCTTTGAAAGGTGAAAACCTTGTACCTCTGAAGAGACTCTCTACATATGGACCCCAGAAAAGCCAAAGTAGCTGGTGTTATTGCAGAGGATTTTTTGTTGAAACTCATTTGGGTTGGAGTCCATGCAAGATGAAGTATACAATTAATTTTAGGTTATTTCTATGTTTAATAATGTGCAATAGCATAAAACCTGTGTAATTATATCAAATGTCTGTTAAAGTTTCATTTGGCTTGTTACACTAGTGATTACACAGGGTATGTGAACACCGAGGTTCGATAGCTTTCATATTTGCCTAAAGGAAGGTGCCTTTGACTTTCTGAGTTTAAATTTTGTTGCAAAATGGCTGATAAAGCCATCAGTTCACTTGAGCTCGATGATTATTATGAAAAGGGCAGAAACTATAGTCAGAGCCAGAGTCAGCAGAGTTTTGTTTATTTGGGCCTCTGACGTCTAGACTGGAGTGCAGTGGTACGATCATGGCTCGTAGCCTCAACTTCTCGGGCTCAGGTGATCTTCCCCCATCAACCTCCCGTGTAGCTGGGTCTATAGGCACACCACCACATCTGGCTAATTTTTCTTGTATTTTGTAGAGACGAGGTTTCACCATGTTGCCCAGTCATGTCTTAAAGTCCTGGGCTCGAGTGATCTGTCCAACTCCCAGAGTGCTTGGATTATAGGTGTGAGCCACCTATAATGCTTGGCCTGAGGTTTATTTTTTGTTTGTTTAAGAGACAGGGTCAGCACCATAAAACAGGGCAAAAAAAAAAAAAAAGGGGGGGGCCGTGTCTTGCTCTGTCGTCTAGGCTGGAATGCAGTGGTACCATCATAGCTCACTGCAGCCTCAGCCTCCCAGGCCCAAGCAATCTCTTGCCCCAGTCTCCTGAATAGCTGGGACTACAGGCTTGTGCTACCACGCCCAGCTAATTTTAGTGATAGGGTCTCACTGTGTTGCCCAGGCTGGTGTCAAACTCCTGGCCTCGAGTGATCCTCCTGCCTTGGCCTCCCAAAGTGCTGGGATTATAGGCATAAGCTGCTGTGCCTGGCTTTAGTGGACTTTCTACAAATGGGCAGATAGTAAGTATTTTAGTCTTTGCAGACCAGACCATACAATCTGTGTTGCTCATGTTCAACTCCACCACTGCCATGTGAAAGCAGCCATAGATAATAGGACAGTATGTAAATGCATGATACTACTGTGTTTCCATAAAACTTTTTTTGCCTAAACAGCAGACTATGATTTACCAACCCTGAATTTACAGTGTAGTTTATCCCGAATCTTAGAACCTGTTCTGTTAGTGTCTCAGTCTTCAGGTAAGTTGCCCAGCCTCTAACCTAGTTTCCATTAATGTTGGTAGTATTTGATAATGTTTTTAAAAGGAGATTGATTCATGCTGTTTTAAGCGAGTAGAAAAAAATTGGGAATAAACATGAGATGTTGGAGTAAGCAATAACTCCTTTTTGTTGTTTTTCTCATGTAAGAATTAGAGTTGTGTTGATTTTTTTGTTTT